GGGGAGACAGGGGACCTCCTTACACCATAACCTTATAGCTGCAGTTATAATACACTGTGTGCGGGGAGACAGGGGACCTCCTTACACTATAACATTATAGCTGCAGTTATAATACACTGTGTGCGGGGAGACAGGGACCTCCTTACACCATAACCTTATAGCTGCAGTTATAATACACTGTGTGCTGGGAGACAGGGGACCTCCTTACACCATAACCTTATAGCTGCAGTTATAATACACTGTGTGCTGGGAGACAGGGGACCTCCTTACACCATAACCTTATAGCTGCAGTTATAATACACTGTGTGCAGGGAGACAGGGGACCTCCTTACACCATAACCTTATAGCTGCAGTTATAATACACTGTGTGCAGGGAGACAGGGGGCCTCCTTACACCATAACCATATAGCTGCAGTTATAATACACTGTGTGCAGGGAGACAGGGGACCTCCTTACACCATAACCTTATAGCTGCAGTTATAATACACTGTGTGCAGGGAGACAGGGGACCTCCTTACACCATAACCTTATAGCAGCAGTTATAATACACTGTGTGCGGGGAGACAGGGGACCTCCTTACACCATAACCCTATAGCTGCAGTTATAATACACTGTGTGCGGGGAGACAGGGGACTTCCTTACACCATAACCTTATAGCTGCAGTTATAATACACTGTGTGCTGGGAGACAGGGGACCTCCTTACACCATAACCTTATAGCTGCAGTTATAATACACTGTGTGCGGGGAGACAGAGGACCTCCTTACACCATAACCTTATAGCTGCAGTTATAATACACTGTGTGCAGGGAGACAGAGGACCTCCTTACACCATAACCTTATAGCTGCAGTTATAATAAACTGTGTGCCGGGAGACAGAGGACCTCCTTACACCATAACCTTATAGCTGCAGTTATAATACACTGTGTGCAGTGAGACAGAGGACCTCCTTACACCATAACCTTATAGCTGCAGTTACAATACACTGTGTGCGGGGAGACAGGGGACCTCCTTACACCATAACCTTATAGCTGCAGTTATAATACACTGTGTGCAGGGAGACAGGGGACCTCCTTACACCATAACCTTATAGCTGCAGTTATAATACACTGTGTGCAGGGAGACAGGGGACCTCCTTACACCATAACCTTATAGCTGCAGTTATAATACACAGTGTGCGGGGAGACAGGGGACCTCCTTACACCATAACCTTATAGCTGCAGTTATAATACACTGTGTGCGGGGAGACAGGGGGCCTCCTTACACCATAACCTTATAGCTGCAGTTATAATACACTGTGTGCAGGGAGACAGGGGACCTCCTTACACCATAACCTTATAGCTGCAGTTATAATACACTGTGTGCGGGGAGACAGGGGACCTCCTTACACCATAACCTTATAGCTGCAGTTATAATACACTGTGTGCAGGGAGACAGGGGACCTCCTTACACCATAACCTTATAGCTGCAGTTATAATACACTGTGTGCAGGGAGACAGGGGACCTCCTTACACCATAACCTTATAGCTGCAGTTATAATACACTGTGTGCGGGGAGACAGGGGACCTCCTTACACCATAACCTTATAGCTGCAGTTATAATACACTGTGTGCGGGGAGACAGGGGACCTCCTTACACCATAACCTTATAGCTGCAGTTATAATACACTGTGTGCAGGGAGACAGGGGACCTCCTTACACCATAACCTTATAGCTGCAGTTATAATACACAGCGTGTGGGAGACAGGGGACCTCCTTACACCATAACCTTATAGCTGCAGTTATAATACACTGCGTGTGGGAGACAGGGGACCTCCTTACACCATAACCTTATAGCTGCAGTTATAATACACTGTGTGCAGGGAGACAGGGGGCCTCCTTACACCATAACCTTATAGATGCAGTTATAATACACTGTGTGCGGGGAGACAGGGGACCTCCTTACACTGTAACCTTATAGCTGCAGTTATAATACACTGTGTGCAGGGAGACAGGGGACCTCCTTACACCATAACCTTAAAGCTGCAGTTATAATACACTGTGTGCTGGAAGACAGGGGACCTCCTTACACCATAACCTTATAGCTGCAGTTATAATACACTGTGTGCAGGAAGACAGGGGACCTCCTTACACCATAACCTTATAGCTGGAGTTATAATACACGGTGTGCAGGGAGACAGGGGACCTCCTTACACCATACCATTATAGCTGCAGTTATAATACAATGTGTGATGGGAGACAGGGGACCTCCTTACACCATAACCTTATAGCTGCAGTTATAATACACTGTGTGCTGGGAGACAGGGGACCTCCTTACACCATAACCTTATAGCTGCGGTATAATATACTGTGTGCAGGGAGACAGGGAACCTCCTTACACCAT